GGCAGAGCGCCGAAATTTGTGATTCCATTTTGATTGTCAGCGGCGAGAGGTCATGTTAAAGGACGTTGGGTCACGGAAATGAGCGTAACAGTCCACCAGTCCACGAGAGGGTTCCCAACAAGAGGGAGGGCTGTGTTGCCAAACGATTGGCAAAACACTTTTTACTAAATATAGTCTCAGGTAACCCTAAAATCGGTATCAATATATCGGTTAAGTCTAAGTCTTATTAAGTCTACTAGAATTTTGCTCGTTCTTTGTGGACTTTAGATTGTTTCTATGAAAACGGTACGCAACAGTCTACTGATTCACCCATTTCTGACTCGGTTTGCTTTAATTGAACACTCGCCAAATATCGGATACACCTTTGAGTTAAGATTGTATATAACCCGTTTTTTTGTAACTCTGTAACTCTAATGCAAACATTCTCCCCCCTCCCCCTCCCTCAGTACAGCATATTCCGTCGCAAAAAATCAAGTGACGTCCCCTTTATAAAACAAATCCCTCAACATTCAAGGGATCAGTCATCATTTAGTGAACTTAAGCGTTGACTTACGGACTTTACGCTACAGGGTAGAAAGCATTGAGAAACCTCTGATTACCATTGAGCTTAATGTATCACCTCGATCGAGAAAAGCGGTTTTTCGTCCCGACCATCTCGCAACCAACGACACTCAGGTGGGTCAGATTTCATAGGACTTTGCATTATTCGAACAATCATCGGTTGTTAACGTTTGGTGGGTTGGCAACCGTGCGAAGGGCGTGACGGGGGGTTAGGGGGCACAGGTGGGGGCGGCGGGGGTGTATTGGTGGCACGAGAAATTCCCTTGAGGTGTGCTGTTGTATTGCGCACTTGTAGCTGGCCCCGCCACCACTGTGAGGGCACCCGTGCCAAACCGTGCTTTGGGCGGGGGGCGGGGGCAGCGGGGGCGCTCGGGGGGAATTCGGGAGGTGAGGCGGGAGCGAGGGTAGGAAAGCGGAGAGGGGAAATCGATAGCTCTGGTTCGTGTCTTTACGTCACTTCCTTAATCGCGGCACCTCTGCCACTACGGCCGCGGCCGCTACGCGCTATGTAGGCAGACGCGCAACTTCCCCAGCCCCCGGTCATGGACTTCGCAAAATCCCCACAAGCCCCTCATGGAGACATCGTTTTCAGTCGCTTTATAGTGGTCTACGAAGGAAGGAATCACG